AACAGTAACTATCCAATAGAATATTACTCAGCAAGAAAAATGGAACCAACTAAAGATAGAATAGATATACTTTTCCCTATACCTGTCACTAAGTACAGTTAAAAATGCCAGATACTGTATATAAAACAAATGCAAGAAGACTCTAAAAGGTACAGAGAAGAAGACAGACTAACTAGGGACCTTGGGACCTGAGAAGTGACATGGCAGTGAGTTCCCTGGTTTTTCTTTTGCCTCATATATCTGGGACTGGATGCTGGAAAAGCCAGCAAGCAAAAAGCACCAATGGGTGTACAAAAAAAAAAAAAATCCCCAAGAAAGTCTTTTCTTGCAGGCCAAAAGACCAGAAAAGGGGCAACCTAGCAAAATGGAAACTTTTAGACAATAATCACCCTCTTCCACTCAAACACCATGGGGGATAAAAAAAATACAGCCCTAGCCCCATCCCCATCAGCAAAGGCTAAGTGGGGAAGCTAGACTTCCACCCTCGTTCAGCTGAAACAAGGCACCCCTAACACACCCTTGCTAGGTTGGTATCTAAATGAATAATTTCTTTTATAAGGATCAGCACAAAGCTGTTACCTATGAGGCTGAGGTTAAAGATGTCCCAAGTGTCCAGCTTTTCCAAACTGCTGTACCACTCCACCATCTCTAACATCAACTACTCCGCCTCCCCTCAGTACTCTTTCTCCCTGTCTTTGGGTTCAGTGATTACCTGCAACATCTCACAGAACTGACAAACCGTACTTACAGTTAAGTGGTTTATTAGGGAAGTAACAGGGCACAACTCCAAATCAGGATCAACTTGGATGTAACAGGAACAATAACTCAGGACACAGATCCTGGATCAGGACAGCTTCTTCTCGCCCACTGCCACTGGGCCCTGCTAGGGTCTTGATGCCACCAGGTCCTGCTGGGGTCCTTCTGCCATCAGGCTGTACTGAGGGCCTTCTCAGGCAAGTGTTACACCTCTTAGCTCCATGGGTCAGCAAGCCATCTCACACCAGTCTCCTGATTCCTGCTGTCTCACGCCACCATCTCTCTCTGTCTTCCATGTTCCACTTTTCTCTCTCTGTGTCTCCCTTTAAGCCTAGTAGGATGGCAAAACTAACCAATTCCCTCGTTAGGGTTCCATACACCTTATTTGCATGGTCCCACACCCAGAAGGGTGCCATGCACCTTATTTACATTATTAGCAAGCTACCAATCCCCTTGGTGGCCACAAACACTTAATTTGAATAGTCCCACCCAGTCATTTGGTAGGAGTTACAAAACTATGGCAAGAATAGCCATATAAAAGTGATCCATTGCCCTGAAAGCCACCCCCTGGCTTTTCCAGCCATGGTTCTTTCATACTTGGAGGATAACCTACCCCTCCCAATCATTTCAACAGTCCAAAACACTCATTAACAATTAGTCTTTCAGAAGGACAGAGTCCTGAGGGTGAGGTTACTCAGGTACCAGCTATTCAGGTCTGCTGCAGGTATCCATCTGATCAGGTCAGGTTCTCTAAAAGTTGTCTCAGCTTTACTCTCTCTGGCCTCTGATAAAATTTAACTGAAAGAAGATTATTCCTTTGCTCTTAGTCTCTCTCAATGTATAAGCATAATGTTAGAATTCCCCCACTGCATAACCAATTTATTCATTCCTTTACCTTCAGCTTTCCTTCTATTTGTCATTTATTTTTACCCAAACTTTTCCACCTTGGGAAGGGACATCAGGTTCAGCTACTGTGCCAGTCCAAATTGCTGGTAGCAAAACCAGTCTAGCAAGTTCTTCCCCCTCAGTGCACTCCCATTTATATTGGATAGGGTTACATAGGTAGAACACTAGTGGGCTGTTTTGACCACTAAGCAACATGGCAGTATTCACTGTTAACCCCAATTTTGACAGATATGGGGAAGGTACAATCCATCCCACCAGGCCCTTGGGAATTCTGGCACACAGGTTCAAGGGTATAGTTACAGCCTCTTGCTTAGGGATCATCCGTGGTTTCCGGCACCTGCAGGTGCATTCTTGCTCCTGAAACTGTAGCATCTGTCAGGAAAAAATCAATTTTAGGTGATGTGGGGAAGAACTGTACAGTGGTACTAGCATCCTCCCCCAACCTCTCTTCCCCAGACTGCCCGGAGAAACACAGAAATCTGTCCAGTGGTGATCCTCCCACTGTCCCCCTCATATTGAGTGTGAGCACACACTCGTGAAGGCATGTGAACGAGTCCCTCATGCTTGTATCTCCCCTCATTTTAGATAACAAATGTTTTGATTGCCCATTCCAATTACCTATCGGACCATTACTCTGAGAGTGGAATGCAACATGGTACGTCCATTTAATATGATGTGTCTTGGCCCACTGCTGCACCCTGTGGGCTGTAAAGTGTGTTCCTTGGTGTGGTGTGATTAATTACTTTTGTGTGTGGCCTTTCTAGCCATGGTCTCGTAACTCCCACCCAGGTGACTGTGTGATAGGGTAACTGTGGCCTACAAAGGGGATTCCCCCATGCATCTGTCAGCTTGTCATACTCTGGGGGCTTGCTATGATGCTGGGAGCTATTCACTGGTATTCAGATACCAGGAGGGTCACCCAGCTTCCGGAATGAGACAGACTATGAAGAAGGACCCGGTGGCCTACTTCTGAAAAGAATTAGCCAGTGAAAACCTTATGAATAGCAGCAGAACACTGTCTGATATAGTGCCAGAAGATGAGCCCCTCATGTTCAAAGGCAATCAAAATACGACTGGGGAAGAGCTGCCTCCTAAAAGTAGAGTCAACCTTAATGACGTGGATGGAGTCAAGCTTTTGGGACCTTCATTTGCCAATGTGGCACGACTCAAAATGAGAAGAAACAGCTGCAAACATCCATTAATTATCAGAACGTGGAATGTCGGAAGTATGAATCTAGGAAAACTGGAAATTGTCAAAAATAAAATGGAACACATAAACATCGATGTCCTAGGCATTAGTGAGCTGAAGTGGACTGGTATTGCCATTTTGAATTGGACGATCATATGGTCTACTATGCCGGGAATGACCACTTGAAGAAGAATGGCATTGCATTAATCATCAAAAAGAACATTTCAAGATCTATCTTGAAGTACAACACTGCCAGTGATAGGATAACATCCATGCGCCTACAATGAAGGCCAGTTAATACGACTATTATTCAAATTTACGCACCAACCACTAAGGCTAAAGATGAAGAAATTGAAGATTTTTACCAACTTATGCAGTTGGAAACTGATCGAACATGCAATCAGGATGCATTGATAATTACTGGCGATTGGAATTTGAAAGTTGGAAGCAAAGAAGGATCAGTAGTTGGAAAATACGACCTTTGTGATAGAAATGATGCTGGAGATCGCATGACAGAATTTTGCAAGACCAATGACTTATTCATTGCAAATACCGTTTTTCATTAACATAAACAGCGACTATACACATGGACCTCACCAGGTGGAAAACGCAGGAATTGAATCGACTACACCTGTGGAAAGAGACAATGGAAAAGCTCAATATCATCCGTCAGAACAAGGCCAGGGGCCAACTGTGGAACAGACCATCAATTGCTCATATGCAAGCTCAAGTTGAAGCTGAAAAAAATTAGAACAAGTCCCACCTTAATTTAGAGACCATCTCAAGAATAGATTTGACATGTTGAACACTAATAACTGAAGACTAGATGAGTTGTGGAATGACATCAACGACATCATACATGAAGAAAGCAAGCAGTCATTAAAAAGACAGGAAAGAAAGACCAAAATGGATGTCAGAAGAGACTCTGAAACTTGCTCTTGAATGTCCAGTAGCTAAAGCGAAAGGAAGACGTGATGAAGTAAAAGAGCTAAACAGAAGATTTCAAAGGGTGGCTCAAGAAGACAAAGTAAAGTATTATAATGACATATGCAAGAACCTGGAGATAGAAAACCAAAGGGAAGAACATGTTCGGCATTTCTCAAGTTGAAAGAACTGAAAAAAACATTCAAACCTCGAGTTGCAATATTGAAGGATTCTACAGGGAAAATATTAAACGACACAAGAAGCATCAAAAGAAGATGGAAGGAATACACAGAGTCACTATACCAAAAAGAATTGGTCGCTGTTCAACTATTTCAGGAGACAGCATATGATGAGGAACTGATGGTACTGAAGGAAGCAGCACTGAAAGCATGGGCAAAAAAAAAAAAAGGCTCCAGGAACTAACGGAATACCATTGAGATGTTTCAACAAATGGATGCAGCACTGGAAGTGCTCACTCATCTCTGCCAAGAAATTTGGAAGATAGCTACCTGGCCAACTGATTGAAAGAGATCCATATTTATGCCTATTCCCAAGAAAGATGATCCAATCAAATGCGGAAATTATCAAACAATATCATTAATATCACACACAAGTAACATTTTGCTGAAGATCGTTCAAAAGTGGCTGCAGCAGTCTATCGACAGGGAACTGCCAGAAATTCAAGCCGAAATCAGAAGAGGATGTGGAACCAGGGATATCATTGCTGATGTCAGATGGATCATGGCTGAAAGCAGGGAATACCTGTGTTTTATCAACTATGCAAAAGCATTTGTCTGTGTGAATCATAACAAATTATGGATAACATTGTGAAGAATGGGAATTCCACACTTAATTGTTCTCATGAGGAATCTGTACATAGATCAAGAGGCAGTTGTTCAAACAGAACAAGGGGATACTGCGTGGTTTAAAGCCAGGAAAGGTGTGCGTCAGGGTTGTATCCTTTCTCCATACCAATTCAATCTGTATGCTGAGCAAATAATCAGAGAAGGTGGACCATATAAAGAAGAATGGGGCATCAGAATTGGAGGAAGACTCATTAACAACCTGCGTTATGCAGATGACACAACCTTGCTTGCTGAAAGTGAAGAGGACTTGAAGCACTTATTGATGAAGATCAAAGACCACAGCCTTCAGTGTGGATTATACCTCAACGTACAGAATATAAAAATCCTCACAACTGGACCAATAAGCAACATCATGATAAATGGAGAAAAGATTGAAGTTGTCAAGGATTTCATTTTACATGGATCCCCAATCAACACTCATGGAAACAGCAGTCAAGAAATCAAAAGACGCATTGCACCGGGCAAATCTGCTGCAAGAGACCTCTTTAAGGTGTTGAAAAGCAAAGATGTCACCTTGAAGACTAAGGTGCGCTTGACCCAAGTCATGGTGTTTTCAATCGCATCATATGCATGAGTAAGCCAAACAATGAATAAGTAAGACCGAAGAATTGACGCCTTTAAATTGTGGTGCTGGTGAAGAATATTGAATATACCATGGACTGCCAAAAGAACAAACAAATCTGTCTTGGAAGAAGTAAAACCAGAATGCTCCTTAGAAGCAAGAATGGCAAGACTACATCTCACATACTTTAGACATGTTATCAGGTGGGATCAGCCCCTGAAGAAGGATATCTGCTTGGTAAGGTAGAGGGTCAGCAAAAAAGAGGGAGACCCTCAATGGGATGGACTTATGCAGTAGCTGCAACAATGGGCTCAAGCATAACTACAATTGTGAGGATGGCGCAGGACTGGGCAGTGTTTTGTTCTGTCGTACATAGGGTCGCTATGAGTCAGAACTGACTCGACAGCACCTAACAACAACGACAAGGGGATTGGTCGGTTTTGCCTTAAAAGAGAGCCAATTCCAGAGCAGAGAGGGGGAGGCCACCACCACCAGGGAAGGAGAAGCCAGCAGGAGAGACCCAGCAGCAGAGACCCAGCAGCAGGAGACTGTGTGGTGGGCTTCCTGGCCCATGGAGCAAGAAAGATAAGTGCCTTTGGGCAGAGACTGAGGGCCAGGGAGAGGCGTGCCTGGGAGCATAGCCGGGGAGAGGCTATCCTCATGGAAGAACTGTATCCTGAGTGCTCTTGAGCCTGAATTGTAACTGTGACTTCCCTAATAAACTCCATAATTGTGATTATGGTCTGTGAGGTCTGTGTGGCCACTGCGATGAATTATCAAACCCAGTAGTGCTGTGGGAGGGATAGTTGGTGTCAGAATTGGTAGAGATGGTGGAGAGAGGAAGCGTGTCTGACTGCCACCTCATAGGAATCAGCCTTGGGCTGTTGATCTTGGTTCTCCTTCTCCCTTGTGGGGTTGGAGGAGGTCAGACACCTCCCCCATGCCATTTTTACTCTTGGTCTGATGAAATATAACTTGGTGGACCTACTTGGTACAGTATCTTTTGTTCTAATCCCTTAATGGTGTTTCTGGCATTCGCATCTGTC